AAAAAAAAAAAAAAAAAAAAAAAAAAAAAAAAAAATGTAAGGTTGGAGGATTATACTTGAAAAGGTCTTACCTTCATGACCTGGATTTAGAAGGATCCAGAAATGTAACAATATTGAAAGGCAAATCTATTTCAATCCACGAATCATTATAACGTAATAATGAAAGAGGATAGAATAATATGTATGACCTAAATCTAATCATTTTGTCCCCGAAAAGCAATGATTATGATACAGGTCCATTAATGAGTAGTTCTTATTTCCTATTACTACTAGCTCAGCATTCTCCCAAGGTGCATCTTGAGGGTTAACTTATGGGGAAAATAATTTGTGATGAATTCATTTTGTGAAAGTCCAATTGAAGTAAAGTAAAACACAAAGGATGAAATAGAATTTCCCAAACTTATTTCTTTTATTTTCCCACACAGCATCTCACAGGACTTGTTTTAATCATCACACTTCAGCTCATGATTTCTTTCTGCCCAAGCATACCTATTTTTCTGTTCCTTAGACTTTTCACCGTTAATCACACTAGGAAAGGGTTTCCCCAGGCAGGAGCTCCCTTTACTTTTGTCTTCACTAAATTAATCTCCTTGTCCTTCTTTCAAGATTAAATTCTTATCTGGATACAATCAATCCAGGAGTTTGCCTTCCCGTGTTAAGCCAATCTGGTCTTTACCTTTTTTTTTTTTTTTTTTAAATCACTGTAGAACTGTCTCGCTTCAAGAAATTTTGGACATATCTGTATACACACAGGCAAATATGTTTTGCTGGGTACCAATCATTGTTATAAAATACATGAAATAAGGATTGTTGTTTTATTATAGAATGAGCTCTATGATTCTTAGGAAATACAAACTTCTCCTAAATCCCAAGAAAAAATCTAAGTTTCCATTTTAGAGCAAGACATTATTTAAATTCACCATCAACTAACAATGAATAAATTCATGTAAATAATAACTAGATAGCTGAGGTTTTTTCCTCTCTATATATTTTTAATAAAACTTTTTTCTAAAATATAAAATTCTCTGCTATTCTATTATTCGGAGTATTTAGAACACAACTGAAATTTTCCTTCATGACAAGGTTACAAGGAAAGTTACTTTTTTTTTTTTTTTTTTTTGCGGTACGCGGGCCTCTCACTGTTGTGGCCTCTCCCGTTGCGGAGCACAGGCTCCGGACGCGCAGGCTCAGCGGCCATGGCTCACTGGGCCCAGCCGCTCCGCGGCATGTGGGATCTTCCCGGACTGGGGCACGAACCCGTGTCCCCTGCATTGGCAGGCGGACTCTCAAGCACTGCACCACCAGGGAAGCCCTAAAGTTACTTATTTTTGTGCTGCACTCAGGGACTAATGTCTGTCCCTCTGTTAAAGGGCACTTCTCAAAATGACAATCATTCGAAAAGTGTTCTGTGATCAAATAGGTTTGGGAATTACTACATACTAACAATTCTTTTAAGTGATTCACAGTGCAAATTAGTAAAATAAAGTCTATTCACTTCTATAATAAAGTTAAAAAAATTAAAAACTTAATGTTTCTCAAACTTTTTTGACCAATGAACACTGGTTTACTGACATATCTATTAACTTCTAGAATTTCTCAAACTGCTTAGGGGACACTGCTCTGGATTACAGTCCCACTTGAGTATTTATAGCTGCTTTGTAGTGTTTCCCCCTATTGTCAGGCCTTTCACTGTGGGTTCTTGTTGCTGCCCTTTTCCACTTATAAACTGTTGTTCCTAATAGAATCATGGTATTTTTCAGACTCCTTTGAAAAACTAATGAAAGTCTTCTAAATCCTTGTAGACACTCTTATTGAAAAAAATTCAAGTAGTCATAGTTTCAGGGCTAAACAGAACCACCTGAAGTCCAGCCATGGTTGTCATAGGGCAGCATGGTCCAGGACTTTGTGTTTTATTAAAAATGCAAATCCCTAGGTCATCTCCAGATCCCTTTTAAGCAAGTGCCCCAGGTGAGTTTTCTGCACAGGAAAGTTTGAGACCACTCCCTGAGGGATCCATGAACTCCAGTTAAAAACCCCTGTGGTTGAAAATCACTCTCTAGGCATCAGAAAATGGATTTTGGTCTTAGCAAGTCAACCAAAGAGGTGCTATTGTATAAAACATCAATAACTATTAAAAACAAAACAAAACAAAACCCTTTACTTTTTCCATGGTCAAGAAATGTATTTATGATTTTTTTTTTTCATTTCTGGAAGAAATATGGAATGTCTGTAGGGAATTTCTAAGATAAATTATTATTTATCTAGATATTTGCTCTGGGCAAAGGTAGAACTGCTCCTAGAAAAAACACCTAAAGAATAGTTAGAGTTCTTTAGGCACACTCATCACAAATGTAAAATGATTTCCTTGAGTCCATCGACTACGTCCAGTTTATTCATTATAGTATCTTAAGAACCCAGCACAAAGTAGACACTCAAAAATACTAGTTAAAAAAATAAATGTATGAAATCCCTAGAAATATCTAACAAAGAAAGAAATATAAAACAAAGAAAGATTTCATACCTAATCCTAAGATGCATTCTTCAAAACAATAAATATTTAAAGATATAAGTCAAT